ATCCAAGGTATTGATTTTTTGCAGCACCACTTCCCAACAAAAGGCCTGAATTTTTGGAGGTATAGGGCTACACCACACCTCCTTTGAAGCAAAATTCATTGCAAAGTTAGAAGTCTGGAGCAAAATGTTATAGAAAGAAGAGCAATTGAAAAAACCAGAAGGGGAAGGTTTCCAAATTCTGCTATCTCTACAGGACTGATCAAGAAAGACTTCCCCTAACTGAGTGATCAGATCATCAACCATCCCCATTTCATAATCCCTTAGACCTCTTCTCAAGCCCAAATCCCAAGAGTTATCAATAAACACTGAAGAGATTACTTTCCTTTTGTTTTCAAACAATGAATAAACAGAAGGGAATCTATCTCTAAGGGAGTTTTCACCAACCCAAACATCTTCCCAAAACAAGATTTTATTCCCTGCATCTAAAGGGGCCATTACCTATTGTTGGTTCCTTCATTCCAGTTGTCTGAGGTCTTGGAAGGGGTGGACTGGTTACAAACCTATTCTTTAGCTTTTTTTTTCTTTTTGCTTTTTGCACACAGTGGCATCTCTAAGAATTAAACTTGTGTTTCTTGTGCTTGCTAGACTGAGATTTCACCATTGAACCAAGCAATGSCCTCTTGTTTGTGTGTCAACTAAAGATGAGAAATATTATGTCCTGCCTTGTAATGCAGAAAATTATGACCTCCTTTAGGTGTCATTTTGAGTATGAGTTGGGACATCTCAAAGAGTGAAATGCAGGCCCCTTTATGGAGAGATGCCACAGTCAGAAAATGCAATATTTTAAATCTAAGAGCAAAAGTTTTGGACATATTTTGTAAATTCTTCCAGGACAGTAATTGGTCAAATGCCTTTTAAGTTTTTTTTTTTTTTTTTTTGGAAGAAGGTAAAGTATAATATCATTAATATAAACAAAAAACATGTACAACAGGAACTGTATATAGGGGTTTACAGTGTTTTAAAAGCCCAAGGGGCATTTGGTGCCCGAGGCGCAAGGTTTGTGCCTTTTCGAGTTAAGACACAGAAATGCAAAAACTAATAATATTAATATTTTTAAAAAATAAAATTATAATAGAAGATAGTTTTAAAAGACAATTAAAATTATAAAATATTTGTTTTTGCAGGGATTAAAAATTGCAGATTTTCAAAAGGCACACTGGGTACATGCCTTTTGAAAGTGCTGTGCCTGGGGACTAGGCGAGTCACATACATTAAAATGTGCTTTGCCTGGTGCACACCTTTTAAATCACTGCATACCCTTCCTCACCAAATTATCTAGTTAAAATTCTGTTCAAATAGGAAGTCCACAGAAAAAAAAAAAGGCTTACCTTTGTGGGCACATTCTTACACCAAACAATATTAACTAGGATGGATTGTTCCTCCAATATGGAGATGTAGTTGTAAAAAGATTTGTCTGAGAATTCTTTAGATTTCTCCCACTCCCAAGTTCTTCTATCCTCTCTTCCGATATCCACTTGAGTACTATACAGTTTATGCAACAATTCTACCAGTGACTGTACTTCCCAGTCATTCAAATTTCTTCTAAAATGAGGAGTCCATATTCACTTCCATTCTGCACCTGCATATAATCTGCCACATAAGCCTCTTTGTCTGTTGCTAACTCAAACAAAGCAGGATAAGAATTCTTCAAATCTCTGTTTTTGCACCAGCTGTCCTTCCAAAATTTCCCCCCGAGTCCATCCTCAACCTTGAACCTTATTCCCTTAAATAAAAGGTCATCAGCTTTCCCAGTGCCATTCCAAACAGAACACCAATAGGATTGATTTGGCTTCCCTAGTTCCCAACCAGAATTTCTGTAACCATATTTAGCCGCTACCTTCCTCCTCCAAAGACTTGATTATCTCCAAATCTCCAAAACCACTTTCCCAACATGGCTATATTGACCTCCTTCACTCTTCGCACACCCAAACCCCCTTGATGCTTAGGTTTGTATATCTTTTTCCAACTAACCAGGTTAAATTTTTTCTTCTTGTCCCTCCACCCTCTCCATAGAAAACCTTCTCATCTTCTCTATGATATTTGCCATTCCAATAGGAATTGAGTACAATAAAGCTGTATTTGGTTTGAATGAAAAAGTAGGGAAAGGAAAGGAAAGGAAAGGTAGGGAAACCTTTACAAACCTTGTATGAGTTTCCCTACCTTTCCTTTCCTTTCCCCATATTTTCCTTCAAACCAAACATAGGCTAAAAGTAAATACATAGGAAGGGAAGACGGCACACTTCTCATACCTTTAGGCTTCCAAGCCCCTTTTTTCTTTGTAATGAGAGCTATTGGCATGGTTTGCAATTTTTATATCGATGGTCATTTTGCCATGCAGAGATAGGGAAATTTTGGGGATATTTCACTAAGATATTTGAAAAGTTTAAAGAGATCAATAATTTTTTTAAGAACCATGAAATTAGCTAATAGACCTTCAAGGAATCGTTAAAGTATAATTGCACATTTGAGGCTCAAAAAACCATAGTGAAAAAGTGTACATATTAAACAAGATAATATTGAGACTTAAATTGGTATTTTTCTCTCTATCTCCCTTTTAGTCTCTTGGCCATCTCTTCTTTATGTATGTCATTTACTCACCATTAGACCTGTTCACTGGCTGGACCAGGCAGGACTTTACATCTATATTAACAGAACATGTTCAGACCCAATTTTGGTCCTCATATAAAGCCCAAAGCTTGGGCCCGAGCCCGAAGCCTGGCCTGGAAATTGGGCAAGAAGATTTTTTTTTTTGTTTACTCAACAAAAAAACTGATTTATTTATATTAAATGACCTCAAACCCCAAAAATACTCCTCACTGTTTTTTTATGTACTAAAAAGATCTCACCGTGGCTTGAGAAAAGAGAAGAACGGACTGGGCTGTTTTGAGAAATCCTGAGCCTGGCTTGAAAAAAGTCAGTCCCAGTGTTTTGGGCCCGAGCCCAACCCAATGGGCTCAAAACCATATCCAAGCCTGACAAAGAATGGGTGGTTCGGACCATCAGGCTACCTGGCCCAAAGAATGGGTGGTTCGGACCATCAGGCTACCTGGCCCATGAACAGGTCTAGTTACCATTTTGACTTGTCTTTTTTGTTAGTATGCATTTTGGTCAGATTGAGAATCCCCTTTTGTAGTTGTCTTTTTCTTACAGTGACTTAGCAAGTGAAACATATAAGAATAGTAAGCCAATCATCTCATCACCAAATTCCCATTTGTCCTTTTAGAAAAACAAAAAAAAAGATTTTCAAAAAATTATGATGATATTTTAGTCAAACATATCTTTCTGATGATAATGTTTCATATCTTCAATGTATAGTTTATCAATGATCTAAAGAAATTGAAGATTGATTATTTTCATTGTTTCAGAGATATGGGATGCGCTTCGAGCAGCTGCAGAAGCTGATTTGACCCTTGCACAAGCAATTGTGGACAGCGCAGGTGTCATCGTTACAAGTGCTGACTTGACAACCTGCTACGATGAAAGAGGTACTTAATGTTAGTTGAACATCGCCTGGAACTCCTGAGAATTTTCTCTTACATAATTCCCATTGCAGGTGCYAAGTATGAACTTCCCAAGTATGTTTTGAGTGAGCCAACCAATTTGATTCGTGACAGTTGACAACAGAGGGTAGACGAATCACCATGCTTCAGTCAAACTAATTGTAAATCATGTAAATTACTTAATTCTCTTTTCATTATCTTTAAAGGAGTTTGGCGAGCTTATGATGGTAAATTGGCATTTAGGTTACTTCCTCAAAGCACATATGGAAGTTACTGCAATTTACCTCAATGAACAGGGGAACACATCTATTGATTTTTCTTTAGTGTGACTCAGTTCTTCAATGAATATATAGCGCATCTTTTCTTCAGTTTAATCAAATTTGTGCCGTCTGTTTGACTTGGTTTCTCATGAAATATTTTGAGTGGATTTTCCTTCGAGTGACTAATGCTAGGGTGCCTTTACCACAGAAGAAATACTCATGGACGAATGCCCAAGATTTCGTGCGTAAATGGGTGGACGTAGAGTTAAGATATTTGTTTGCTGTATCCATATCGGAGACATTGATTGGATCCAGAAGATTACTTGTGGTAGACGTAGAGTTAAGATATTTGTTTGCTGGCTAGCCTGGCTTCGGTTTCTGACCTTGATGTCATTTTGGTTTCATTAACCGAGGACGAAAGTAATATAATTCCACCACTAATAATCTTCTGGATCCAACCACTCTATCTGGGCTGTGCCTATCGCTTGTAAGTCTCTCATTGTGGATTCAGTACGTCGATAAAAGGGTGGCGGTTTCCATTGTCGTTTATCAGAACAACATTTTGTACCAATTTTATCTTAAAAATCAGGACAAGATGATTTTTTTTTAACTTTGACAGCCAGGCACCATTAGGTGTTACTTTAAGCCAAACAGGAAAAAAAAAGCCTTAACATTAGGGGTTTCCTCCAATGGATGGATTTCACACAACCCCTTTTTTTTTTGATAAACAGTTTAATCAAACAAAATTTCAAGCTCTGTGGGGGGAAACGTCTATCTGATGTTGAGTTAGTGCCGATTTGCTGATAAACAGATATGGAACATCACCATCAAAATTTGTCTAATGCATCCTAGTAAATCAAACACGAAAAGCTTTGACAAACTGGATTTATGTCTTGCTTTCAAAGGTTTAGTATTCTCTCATTAGGCAGTCTGAAAACCAGTGTGCCCATGTAGCAGTGAAAACTTTTTCCCTTCATTGCTCTTCTCATCCTTGCCTCTATTGATGATTCGTTTAAACCTTTAAATTTACTTGAAGTGGAAAGACAGCCAGCCAGCCAGCCACCTTAAATTTTGTTAACCATTATCAAAAGGAGGAAGAAAACTTAGTACAGGAGGCGGCCACCTTGAGGCTGTGTTTAGTTTAAAGGAAAAAGTAGGGAAAGGTAGGAAAACTTAGTACAAAAGAATTAAAATTAGTACAGGAGAAAACTTAGCCCTCCTTGCCCCGAACCCAAACAAGAAAATACACTCCCTTTCCAAGTTAAACTCGCCCCATACAAGGCTAAGAATGAATTCTCTACTGATAATTTGGTACAAGCGGTTCACCCAGGTTGAGTCATGTATCGGTTTCTGGCATTAGGGTTCATGGTTGGAGTGCTCCTGTTAGTTTGACATTCCTACATTGCCGATAGGTATGATCACACATCATATATTCAGAACGTAATGAAGAGTATCGGCCTACAGCTCAGGGCAGATTGGGCTAAGTTGAGGTCAACCCAAGCCCAACCTGAGGCATGGGTATTTCAAACCCTAATCTGAGCCTCAACTTAAATGAGCCCAATTAGCATCCTAGAAAGTGTAGCCSTAACCCAACACATAACCAGATTTTTATAATCAGTTTGGGTTAGTCTGATAAATGCATGCATGACAAAACAACTCAATATAGGGGTTGGGCTGGGGTTGCCCGAGGCCTCAATTCTAACCCCACCAGTAAGTTGAGTCGGTTGGGCCTCAGGTTGATTAATCATATTTCCTTGCAAACTATGAGGTTCATAATTGTTTTATAATTATGGATCTGGTCAAACGTCATTGGGTTTGCATGGTAATTTGCTGTTATTCTTGAATCACTAAAAGATTCTATTTCTTTACAATGAATTTTTCATTTGCAGTGGTGTAAATGTATAGTATAAATGGACTGAATGAAAACTCTGTTMTCTCTCTCTCTCCCTCTCCCTCTGTGCTTCAGGCTTTGTTTTATTTGTTTATGATGAGAAAAGCAAAGTAACAAACTGATATGGTACCTAGTTTATATGAAAGAGTATGAGGAAGGATGTTCCTTTAATATGGTCATTTTGACGTGAGTTCAAGGCAAGTACCTGCATTACTTAATAAGGATTATTTTGTATTTATTTGTACTAGCCAATAAATTAATGGTTCATGTGTATAAATAATGTATTGATTTATGTATCTAAATATTAATTTAAAAATTTTCATAGTTTTTGGGTGTTTAATTTATAACAATTTTTCGTAATGTTTAGGGTGTCTTATTGAATTCTTAGTAAACTGAGAGTTAAGACATTGATCGATGCATTGAATGGTGGTCTCATCCTCCTAAGTGGGTCTCATCCTCCAGCCCAAAGTGGACCCACCCTCCCCTCAGCCCAATGAAGTTGCTCTTCGTCCTGTACTATAGTTTTTGCCTTGTATTATTTTACATCTACATTTTGCACAAATGGGTATTCTTGAACCAAATGGTGGTTCGGTAACTGACTAAGATCATTCCGAACCCGAATTGATACATCCAGCGGTTGAAAAGCTACTGGAGTAGGTAGAGTCACGTGCACTCGATGCAGTTGGATGAATATTAGGATCACGTCTTCGTTGGAAACAATTGGTGGATGTGGGCCGCAGCCAACTTTACCACATGGATCATGAGAAGTGAGAACAATGGTGTTGGATCATGGGAAACCATTTAATTTGGTGGGTGGGTACCTCACGGAATAACAAAAGCTCGTTGGTAGTTGATATTGGGCTTATGAAAAAAGCCCATATCTGGTCTGAAGAGAAGGACGTTTGGTCAAAAGGGTAATGATGTGTGGGTCAACCAAAAGAGCCACTCTGATTTTGGAATCTGATGCTGCCGGCTACATCGAAGGTGCCGGAATTTATTATTAGACAAAGATGTCAGGGTTCTTGGAAACTGGGCTTGTCAGGGTCCTGCTGGAACTGGGCTTGGTGTAACGGGTTACGGGCTGGGACCATTTCCATAAAGCCGAGTCAGGGGAGCTGTTGTTCCAACGGTCATCTATCTATTCTATTGTTTTCAAGTTCCAACGGTCAAGAGAGAGAGACAGAACAGGCATAAAGTAATACGGGCCATGAACAAATTAAGCCACCACACTGAAAAAAWGCTTCATAACTTTTGTTTTTTAATTGAGCCCTTTGTTCTGTGGAGGACTCTGATGATGATTTCTTTCCGTTAATTTATTACTTATTTTTTATATTATATCCTTTGGCATTAAAAGGGGATTCAGGGGTGGGGACAGAATAGGAGTAAAAAAAGATATCGGCTTCCATCCGGGCAAGTCCGCGCCTACACCGTTCCAACTGTCTTTTACAACCTTGTATTGAAAATATCTCTTTATTTCATAAATGGCTGTAAAGACCGCTCAAATGGGATTTGTCATGACCGAAGCTGAACTTATAAAAATAGAATCTATTAGAAAATAGAAACGATACTGGTTGGTTCAGACTTGAATGTAATTGAAACATGCACTTTTAATTACTTTCAAATGCCTTTTTTTTAATACATAGTTATGTTGTCACCGCTGAAGGCACCAGGCTTAAATGGCAATGCTCTATTTTACCAGAATGGATAGAATGCCAATGAAAATGACTTTTGCTAGTTTATATGTGCCATGTTCATTGATCCTTTCTCTTATCTCCTCAATCAATAATACATTTAGGCCCTGCCATTATGTTGGGGTGAGAAAGTTGGTCAATGGGAAAGTTCATATTCTTTTGCAAATACATATGGGGTTCGTTAAAAATACAGATTCCCTCGGGTAATTATTTTGGCCATTTACCTTGAAAAATATTATCCACTTCAGAGATGATTAAGTTAATTTCCCATTGTGGAGTGATTTTGTTCAATCGAAAATACCCCTGTTAACAATTAAGCAAACAAAAAAAGAAAATTAATCAAGAAAATTACTCACCTATGATGAACAATGCAGATCTCTAACCATCGCTCTTGGATCTGCTAACCCGGCAACCTTTATAATCCACCATCCCTTCTACCATATCTCCTCCTCCCAACAGCGGAGATTCACTTGCTAAAGTGTCACACACCTCCATTCTTCCCAGGCCTCTCTCTCTCTCTCTCTTCTATGCAGTTGCCTAATGATTTTCGGCCCATTGGCTTGTTTAATATCACCTACAAAATGTTGGATTTTAATCTCATTAGAGATTAAACCCAATGGGTTTGATTAGTCAATTACATGAAAAATTACACATGTACACTTGTTTTAGAAAACAGCTTTTCTCTTACTAAAACCAGTTTTGAACTTGTCCCACATTGGAAAGTTACAAGTTTTGTTTTGAATTTTTTAATAGGAGCTGATTTACACTACTTAGAAATAGAAGAGGAGAGTATGGAGGTTTGTTGTTGTGCAGCGCACACACACGCCGTGTGCAGCGCAATGAGGCGCACTTCGCGTGCGACTTTGGCCTTTTGGTGCGATGCTGACCGTTGATGTGATCAACGGCCATGATTTGATTGGGTGTGATCAAGAGGCACAATTCAAAGTTAATAGTCATTAACTATTAACTACCTTTTAAACAATCACAATGTTTAAAATTGTGACTATTCAAGGTGTCTTTCTCTAAACCAGCACCTACCTTTTCTTCATAACTCTTCAGAAACTATTTAAGGAGTATGAATCAGGTTTTTCACACAACATTTTTGACAATTACTCTCTCTCTCAATCCAATCTGCTACAGTCTCACAGAAGGTTTCTTCGGAGACTCTTCAACTTTGCTAGTTGCAGATTCTTGCCCRAGGCTCTGTTATATCCTGGGCATGRATTTACCTGTAACTCAATAGCAAACTCAGTGAAAATGAGTGGGCGCAAATAACGTTCTAAAGACTGTGTGTTCAGACACGCCTCAAAGCTTTTCCTCCAAGTTTCAGTGACCCCATTTCCCAACACAAAATTGTTGTCAATYTGATAGCTAGCAAATTGAATCCTATGCCACACAAAATCATTTCTCCTCATGTAGTGGTGGCTTCGGATTTGGTACATTCTTTGAATAAATACACTTCAAGTATGTGTTATTTTTTATTGGATTTTTTTTTATTCAAACCATATGATATGGAGGAGTTAATGTTTTCT